CCCTCCTCCCCTCCCCATTTACAAACACTTTATTTCCATTTTTTCATTTTCTCATATTTTCCCCTCTCTCTCTTTTAAAGACAAGGTCTTGCCATGTAGTTCAGGCTGGTCTTGAACTCACTACGTAGCCCAGGCTGGCCTGGAACGCTCTGTGATCCTCCTGTCTCAGCCTCCTGAGTGCTGGGATGACAGGTAAGAGCCACCATGCCGGGACTGGGATGTCTTGCAGTCTGCGTGGGTTTGTTCTTGGAGCTAAGTCACCGTGACTTGGTGGAATCTTCCAGATAGACTCTTTGGGAGACTCTGCACTGGTACATTGTGAGATGTGAACCACTCCCCAGCACGACCTTTCAGTTTACTAACTAAACGCAATGTCCATGTCTGTGTGGTTCAGCTTCAAACATATGTCTGGATTGCTGGGAAGGAGGAGGGAGAGAAAGGGCTGGGGGGCTGACTTCAGGCTTTCAGGGCCAAGGGAAGACAGGAAGAGACATGGGGAAACGTCTCTCCATGAGGGCTGTATGCTTTGAATTTGATTGCTCTGGCTGCCTCTTATCCTGGTTCTTGGCTCTGGGCCTGGAAGGGAGGCTCCTTCAATACTGAGCTTAGGACAGATAGATGCCTTTCCCTCAAAGTCAATAAATAACTACAAAGCTGTGAACCCTGTTTCTAGTCAGAGCGAAAACACTGCTCCCGCCTTGTGGTCTGTGCTCAGCACTTTGGCTGCCTGTGGCTCTGCTCCAGCCCTTGGAGCCTGCTTTTGTAAGAGTCCCATTCCTGCCTTCTTCCTCAGAAGTGGTTCCCTGGCCATCGCAGACAAGAGGAGCCCAGCGAGCCTGGACCAGAACAGTGTGCCTCTTGCTTCCTTCCTTTGAGACTTCTCACCGTTCCGTTTACCCCCATGTCCCAGCCGCACCAGGTGAGCTGAAGCCCACAGATGCTCTCCAACTTAGTGCATCCCAGTGCATGCTGCTCTGGGCTGCTCAGCTCACTCGCATCCATCCGCCACTCTCAAGCCCAGCAGGAAACGGTCCCTGTCATCCCCTTGTCATTCTCCCAGCCCTCCCGGCTTCCCTAGCCTCCTGGGCCGACCAGGTCAGACTGCAGAAGAGTCAGACAGCACCCTAGACTCACTGGACCCCAAGAACCAGGCAGGGAGCCTGCATTTTGATTCAACTAGTTTAGAGGCACAAACCTGTCTTTTATTTTGTTTTTTTGGCTGTGTTGAGAATGGAACCCAGGGCCTCACACTCGCTGGGCAAGCTCAGGCCCAGTCCCTGCCCTCACTTTTCATTTCTATTTCCATGCACATTGCCAGAGCCATAGAGGCCCTCGATACTTGTTGCTCTGGCATCTCTTCTTTTCTTTTGGCACCCTCTTCTTGTTTTCACTTCCCTCCCTCTCTAGCCTAGACCAACAATTTGCCTTCACCCTTGCCATTACCATGCAAAACCCTAACCACCAGCTATTTATTTTTTCCATTCTCACTGCCAGGTGGCCTGGAGCTGTGGCTCCTTCCCCAAGCCGCTCCGCTGCAGTTCACGGGCTCTGGCTGCAGTGGGGCCCAAACGTGCTGCACAATCCTTCTGACCCGGGACTTTTCCAGACCCTGGGTCCCCACTTCCTCCTGCCTCTTCCCACAGGCAGTCAGCAGCTGGCCTCCTCCCTGGAGAAAACAGAGGCCATCAGATGGGAACTCCCTCCACTTCCTGCAGCCTCACCTAGCTGCTTACCCATGTCAGCACTCTTCTCCTCCCCAAACTCAGCTGCCAGGTCCTCAGACGATCCTCCTACCTCCTCAGGGACTTTACCCTCAACTGCCCTTTTCTCTTTGACCTCTCATGAAAGGACAAAGCCAACCTCCTGACCCCCATCCCTCATTTCTGTCTTCCCTTCCCTCCACCGCTGAGCTAAATCCCTGGCTCACCCTCAGCTCTTTCTGAGATAAGGCCTTGCTGAGTGGCCCAAGCTGACCTTACACTCGCGATCCTCCTGCATCAGCCTTCTCAGTAGCTGGGATCACAGCTGTGCCATCACACCCAAGATGGCCGTTCTTAAGGTTACTGTGGCCTTTCTCAGTCCTTGTCTCACTCACAGTCTCCTGTTTGCAGCCTTCTCAAAATCTCCTTCCTCCCTGGTCTCTGTGCTGCCGCACCCCTGCTCTTTCTGCAATCTCTGTGGTGGCTTCCTCTCGTTTTCCTGGTACCGTTCTCTTCTCCATGGGCCTTTTCTCTGGGGAGTTCCATCTATGCTCTATCTGTCTTTTTTTCCTTTTTTTCAGGGCTAGGGATCCATCTGAGGGCACGTGCACACTAGGCAAGTACCACTGGGCCACACCCCTAGCCCTCCCTTTGGTCTAATGACTAATGTTGGTGAGTTGCAAGTCTAATGTCAGCCCAGCTCACTGACCTGTCCCGCAGAGCTGCAAAGCCACCGGCCTGCTAGATGCCTCTGTGAGGCCATCTTCCATTACCTACCTCTGCGTGTGCCACCAGGTCCTCGGCCACTGACAAGAAACCTAGATGTCCTCCCTGAGTCCCACTGTCACTGGGTCTTGTATAGGACATGTGTGTCTATGTGTTTGAAACAGGACCTTGTTATGTAACTCAGGCTGGCCTCAGACTTGCCATCTTCCCGCCTCAGCCTCCCCAGTGCTGGGATTACAGGTATGTGGCACCACACTGGGTTCAAAGATCAAGTCAGTGCACCCTCTAGTCCTCACTGTTCAATTCCCCCTGCAGTCATCTCTCCCGATTCCCACACGTCCTGAGGTTCAGGCTCAGCACCACACCTTCTCCATCCCCTCTGACTTGTCCAAGGTGAAGCGGATCCAGGCATCCTCTTCCTCAGCTGTCCTGACTGTAGTCTGGATTCCTTAGTGCAGCCACCAGGCCCAGGTCTCTGTCTCATCTCTTGCCCTTACCTTTAAGGAACTGAGACCAACTGCCCCAGCCCTGCAAGAGCTCAGTGCCTCTGCTCACTTCTGTGTACCTTTCCCTCCCCCTGCAAACCCCTCTTTCCCACCTCACCTGCTGTTTCTCAGGTCTCAGGCTAACCCAGACTTCCAGAAAGCTCTCTCTAACCCTTGCCTAGCTGGATTGGTTGTCTCTGCAACGGGCTCTTTTTTATTTTGGTTTTTTTGAGACAAGGTCCCAATTCCAGCACTCAGGAGGCTGAGGCAGGAGGACTGCCTTGAGTTTAAGGCCAGCTTGAACTATACAAGACCTTGTCTCAAAAAAAAAAAAAAAAAAAAAAAAAAAAAAA